GACCCTGTCAATTTCAATTTTATGGTGAAATTTATAAATTTGTAAGATATTTTATATATCATATGTATATACAAGTATGTGATGTATACATTATATATAATGCAAAAATAATTTAATATTTAAATAATTTATAATTAAGAGTTCATATAATGAATATGTTGTACTTGTTAACTATTCTAGGTCTACCCCATATATCATATTTTATTTTGGAAAGAAATAATTTCATAGTAAAATTCGTGGTAAAGATTTTAGTTATATTTGAATTAGATGCAGTAGAAGAAAGCAAGTATTTAATTTGCTGCTTTCATATTTTTAAAATTGAATTGAAAATTTTCATACATGAAATTTAAGTATATTTTTTATGTTACTAACTAGACACATAGAAATTCTAAAACTGCATAAGTATATCAGCGTATATTGTAAATATAAAACAAAATTTACCAAAATTTAAGTAATTTGTATTACGTTCCGGTTTGTATTGTTTTAATGAATTTGTTTTAATAAATTTGCTGTTCCATACAGAAATTAATTTGTTCCTTACTAATTTTCATATATTTTGCATTCCAGACAGACGTTTATTTAATTCTTTTCTTTATAATATTTCTTACGGCAATAATTTTAAAAATTTTTATGTCTTCTTTTTGTAATCTGTATTCTTAATTTTGTATGCATCGTTTCCCATATTTATTCCTAAAAATATTGTAAAAAAATTTAAATACTAAAATAAAGTATAGCAATATGAGAATAAATTTTCCTAAAATATTTTTTAGAATTCAAAGTTTTTGGAATCTTTGATTACTATATAATACTTTATATAACATATACCGCATTCCTATAATTCTTAAAAAAAAATTAGAAAATCAGACATTGCCAAAATATTTTTATTCATTTCAAAAAACTAAATGATTGCCAAACTCAATAAAATGCATCTTAATATCATTTTAGTCAAAATTATTAATAAAAAACTAAATTTATTTCTTATAATATTTATTAAAAAAACATCACACACAGGCAAATACAATCTCGTAAATTATAATTTAACACTATTTGAAACATCTGCGACAAAGCATTGCAAAATATTACCTTCTAATATCCTAGTGTGTAATATTTTAAATATTAAATAAAAAATAAAACAAAATTAAATAAAATGAATAATTTTAATTAAAATTCATCTTATATAATTTATTTTTAGATAATACAATTTATTTCATATTGAAATCATGAAATTAGAAACAAAAAAATCAAAATCTAAAAATATTTTGAATTCATTAAACACGATATAAGTGAATACTTGGAACCCGCTCGCCTTTCTTTAACATTATTCCAATATTTTTGTTTTTTAATTTAATTATACATATTATTTTTTGTCTGATAAATTTTGTAAAAAATAAAAAAATGCAAAAAATAAAATTAAAAAACTCAAATTATTTCATATTCTTTGCTTTTTGCACTTTTAAAGATTCTTTGCCATCATCATCGTGTCTTCACTAAAAATTCTTGTTGGCTAAGTGTTGTGCATACTATAATAATGGTACTTTTAATATTGTGATCATTGCGATGGGAATTTTTGATTTTTTAAATTTTTCTTTTTTCTTGTAAAAGAGAAAATAAAAATATTCAAAAATGAATCAGTCAAAGGCACATAAAAATTTTTTTGGCAAAATAATTTTATTTTTTTTTTTAAGTAAATTTATTTTATAAGTACACATTATTATTAGAGAAGGAAAAAACTAAGTGAGGTAAAAAATGAGAAATAAAAAAATGTTTAATCAAATATGTAGGTACTTTATAGATTATAAATAAAGGTTCGTTTACAATGTGCAAATTCTAAAAAAAATATTTCCTTATTGTTATTATTTAAAGCGTTCGAATTTCAGGTATATAACACACTCATATCTAGGTATATAACACAGTCAACTACAGTACAGGAGACTACACAAAAGAGTAGCTTGTTAAATGAATTTATTCCGGTAGATGACTTAACATTTTATTATACTTAGATGATACATAAAAAATCAAATCCTTAATATTACAATTTACAGATTGATTTTTATTCTGATATAACAAGATCTACTTTCTATTTACAACTAACCAGCCCTAATTTTACTGTGGAGCAGTTTGCAATATGCAATTCCTATACAAGAATCGCACCGATTGGCGATGAGTTTAAGAAATAGTTAGCTTTTACAAGTTCCTCGTATAGTGAATTTAGAATTGGTGCAACGTGTTCTACAAAAAAAAATGTATTTTTGAAATTAATAAAAAAGTTGAAGCAAATGGCCCCTTCATGCTAGTAATAATATTTGTTCTATATATTTTACCACTTCGGAAAACAGGATTTTTGCTTAACATTTATGTAATAATTCGTACGAGATTTCTTTTAAATTAGTTTAGTGCGTTTAATTTTTTGAAAATAATTCTTAAAAATTGCAATTAAAAATTTTTTTTATGAAATAGTAATGATATTATTCATTCAAATTTTTTTAATGTGTAATTCAAATTGTCTAATAAGATTTACAGAATCGTTTTTGTCTACACATTCTAAATTTAATATACGTTAATTACATACTATGTACCCGACATAATAAAATATTGTATGAACACATATTAGAAATTGGAGGTGATGGGGAAGGATAATAATATTTTTTATTTTTTATACAAAAAAAATATTTTTAATAGTGTCATTTTTTTTGGAAATATGAACCTCATGTAAATTTCCTATTTTAAATATCATTCGAATACAAATTTTAACCCTTTCGCGACACTAATTTTTCTGACTTTTTAAAATATTTTAACGTTGAAGTTCAACTAGTATTCCAACGAAAAGATAGGCGAACATTTTTTTAGCACACGAACATAAAATACGCCTGTATTTTAATAACAGGCTAACATAAGCTCGAGTTTGCAAAATATGTGGAGCAAAATATTTTACAAGTTTAATAGTGTGACTAAAAAGTTTTTGAGATGAAGTCGAATTTAATTAGGTGAAACGAATGAAATTTGGTTTTTGACCCGAGTTCAGATTCAAATTTTGGACATAGGATTTAAAATTTGTTTAAAAAGAAAATCAGGAAAAATCGAGTAAGGTAAGTAAAAATAATTTAACTTTTTAAATTTGACAATTGTTCTTTAGTTCTACTTAAAAATTAGAAACTATTACTAATTACTCACTGTATGCTTAGTGCTGTTGCTCAATGAAAGTTACAATCAGCATAATGTCAAGTTGTGGTGTTTTTTCATTCTGTTTGTTACATCTTTCGATTTTACCTGTTTGTGTCTTCATTATTTGCAAAGGTTTAGCATCTCTTCGCTAAAAAAGTGTTTAAACAAGTTTGAACTGTTGAAAAGCTGGAATAAAACCTGAAAAAAATTCATATGTTTAAAATATTCAACAAATTGAAAGTATTTATAATTTTGTTTGCATTCTTCTTAATAATTTTCTAAATTAAATCGATATTAATTTAAATTTTTACACAAATTACGTGTAAGTATTTAATGCGTAATTATTTTGTATAATTCTTAAAATACATTGTGTGTTTGGTAACCTTAATAATATAGTTGTACTGATATTTATAAAATAATGTAAGAACATACACGATGTACATATATTTAATGTATAAAGAACAGATGATAATATATGTTAGAATAACTATAAATAATATAGCCCTATTGGATCAATGGGCTATGATAGCTGGCTCATATCCTATTTTTGATATTATGTGGCGCATGTGTTGCATATTTTTTTTATTTCTAAATTGTTGTCTTATTCAATTGTGGGTTTATTTATTTATATTTCTGTATATTTTTTTATTATATTATATAGGAACATATTTATTATTTTTGCTTTTTATATTTTACTTTAATATTTTACATTTGAAATTATGTACTTTTATATTGTTTTTCTTATAATTTAAGTTTTTGTATACTTAAAGAAATAAATTGAAGATGTAAAATGTAAGAAGCAATTTCATAGACGGAATGCTGATTTTGATTATTGAATTTCTAATATTGTAATATTACATTCACTTTGCATGTATCAGGGATGCTACAGAGATTCTGTTATGTTAGTGCAGTTTTGATAATCGTTGAAATGTAAGGTTTTTTGAAATTTAGGTAATTTTTCCAAAACATGAGACATCAAAAGTTATTTAAAGTTATGAAAGCTTACAAAGTTTGAGGTATAGCGTTAGATTGTCAAATTTTGGGTAGACAATTATAATGATAAATATAATTTATATTTTTCAAAATATACTTAATATGACTTTATTTATATGAATTGAAGTATTTAGTCTTTTGGTAAATTCAATTTATCATTTTGCATGCATGAAATTATTTGCAATTATTCAACTTGTACATCCTGGAAAACTGACTGAGGTGGAAAAGAATTTTGATCCCTTGCATTTCCAGCTTTGACAAATTTTTATATATATACAATTTAATCATATGTTTCATAAAATTACGTTACTGAAATCACTGTTGCTGTTAATAAAAAGGTAAACCTTATACATTTTTAACATCCTTTGCATCTCTGATGTGCATAAAACGTTCGTTATATGTTCCAATGTAATGTCCACTATATGTTACGCTATCATAAATACTAATGAATATTTTAAGTTACAATTTTATGATTTTATATTAGTGTGTATATACATTGAATATAAAGGTAATAAAATTTCCTTATATAAATACATATATATATTCTTTATTTATAGATTTATATAATATATTTTATTAATTATTTGTTTTTCCAATTTTAATTAAAAAAATACATCATTTTTTATATATACATAGATTTTTTTGTTTTTTTTTTTTGTTAAATAGGAAAAAAATGGGAATTTGTATAAAGTAATTATTTTTTTCTGGTATAATAAATAAACATATACACACATATACATAAATAACAAAATATTTATATTTTATAAATTTATGTTTGCATGTATGTATAAATTAATGAGATTTTATTGAAAATTTTTCTAATTTCAGTATACGGTTGAATTTTTCTGAAGAAACGACTATAATATATTCGGTGTTTAGGGTTTAAATATAAAAAAAAATATTTAATTTTTAAAAATTTTTAATTTATATATTTAAAATATTAATATGTATACCGTTATTTAAAAATAAAAATAACCATATAAAGGCCACATCGATGCCGGCCAATGACGGCAACGATGGCTTGGCAACACCAATCAACATCATAATATCATTATAATGTTATACGATCTGAAATGATGGTATATCTAAGTATATGGCATCAATGTCAAAATTACAATTTTTATATTTAGTATGACGACAATCATATAAAATAAAATAATTATAGTATTTTAATAATATTATATTTTCATGGTTAAATTTTATTGTATATATATATTTGTATGTATGCATGTAAATTTAAAAATTATTTAAAAATGCAATAATTTTTCATTAGATTAGCTTCTTGTTTTATTTTTTTTTTTTTTGTTATAGGTATATGTTGTCGGTTTTTTGATTAAAAAATTTTAAATTTTACGATAATAAGAAAAGAAATGAGAAAAGAGCAAAATTAATGTTATATCGTAAATATATGTATGTATAAAATGTTGACCGTGAAGGCGCCGGGGCTAAATTCTTAATTTTTTTTTATTTTTTTCCTATATTTATAATATTTTGTTAAGAAATTCTTAAAAGTTTTTATTGTAAAAAAATATTCGTAATAATATTACAAAATTTAATTTTCAAAATTTTTAAAGAGTATGTACATATTTATATATATTATACACAATTATATAAAATATATATAAAAATTAATATTTACAATAATTATATTTAGAATTTATTTTTAATTCAAAAGAAAATTAGAATATTTTTTTTCAAAGGACATTTTATATACATTAAAAATTTAAAAGTTTAATTTTAATAATTTATTTTCTTAAATATGCATATGTGCATCTCATTATAATATATTACATATATTAGTACATACATATGTATGAACACATAAGTACCTCAATATATTTTATTTTAAATTTAATTCATTAAAATAAAGCTCATGAAATATGTTTTTACATGTATGAATTTAAAAAAAAAATTGAAACCACCCTCTTTTGTATTTTTGAAAGAGTGATCATGTTTGTAGTTGGTTTCGATTTAAATATAAACCTACTTACATATTAAATTTATTATTATTATTATTTTCTAAGTATACATAATATTTAAAATTTAATTTTAAACATTATAAATATCTATGTATATAATTATTTAAATAAATAATTAAAAGCATAAATGTATGCATATACTTATGTATAAATATTATAAATATTTTTTCCTCCGGATGTTTTAACTCTGAATACGATAAATAATTTTTTTTATATATTTTATTAGTTAGAAATAAGTATTCGTCTTCATTAAATATTTTATATTTATACATACATACATACAATAATAATTTTTATTTAATTGTGTTTTTTTAATGTTTTGTTAAAAATATCGAAACGTCGTCAAACAACGAAAAAACAATAAAAGTGGAGAAAAATAAATAAAATTTCTAAATTAAAATTATTATTTGTTTGGTGTTTCAAATAATATTATTTGTCATCTTCGTCCTGACAAATAAATTTTGAAAAAAAAAAAAAAAAGAAAATTTTAACATCACAAATAAATTTTGAAAAAAAAAAAATAATATTCATTTGGTTTTGTTGATCCGTCGTCGATCGTTGTCGTGGTCGTCGTCGCCGTAGTCGTAGTCGTCTTTGTTGTTGTGTTGTTGCCGTCTTTTCTTCGATCTTTTCGAACAACACACACATTTGATTAATTGATTCCATCGTCTTTATACGTTAAAAACTAAAAATGGTAATTAAAAAATTTTATAATAATTTATTGATTTTTTTTTTAAATTATATAATATTTGAAAAATATGAATTATTTGTTTAATATATTACTATATTGAATAAATATTTATATATGTACATGTGCATATAGCTACAATAGGATAATATATTGTGTTTTGCTTTCTTTTTGTTATTTATTTTACAATTCAAGTGAATTATATATAAAATTTAATAATGTGATTATGAGAATTATGAGAATAAATTGTATTATGTTTACTATTAGAAATTAATACATTTTTTTCTAAATTTGAATAAAACTAACTAAAATTAATATTTATTTGATTTGTAATGGAAAATATGTAATATTATGTGATTAAAATCCAGTAATTACTTAAAATTAACTAATTAAAATTTTGTAATTTCATAATTAGTTTTTTAAGTTCTTAATTCAAATGTAGAAAATTATGTTAAACTGAATTTGGTGATTTTTAGCTAAGCGGAATGTGAGGTCTTTTTTGAATTATTTTGCCATTTTATTGATTTTTTTTTCAATGAAATTATACATGTAAAAATATAAAATGTTTATACAAGCTCAATATTCTTCTTTAACAAAAGAAACAGATAATAATTCATTTGAATTGAAGTACATATTATTATAAAATTAAAATTATTTTTAAATTAAATAAATTTGTTATATATTAAAGAACTTTTATTAAAATTATTATAAATAATCTAATTACAGGAGGAACTACCAAAAGAAACCATCGAATGTAAGTTTGTTAAATTAAATTTAAATTTTAATAGTGAAACACTTAATTTTTTTTTGTATACCTAACAATGTTCTAATTAAGTGTAATTAAGCAGTTAACTAGTGAGGGCTCAATTTTCGTTAAAAATCAGTATATATGTAAAAATGCAGTAAAATTTAATTTTTTATTAAATAAAGTAGCTCTTATTAGAATTTTTTTTAGAAGGGTTGCAAATATTTTACTTAAATCGAATATTGTGAGTCTATATAGGATATTATATTTCCGATCTTTGAGTATTTTAAAACAAATTACTATTTCAATAAATAAAATAACATTTAAAAATAAACTCTTGCGCAAATCTCTACTAAAAATTTATAATCAATTCATTCGTATTTCATATCTGAATTTTTTATATCAATTCAAATTATAACTACATCACTATACTCTATTTTAAAGTACTACAATGACTAATATTTTTTTTCATCTTATTTTTTGTAATACGATTCACTTGCTTATTTGATATTCATATATTTTGATTACTAGGAAATCATGAACTAGTTCAACATATATTGAATTAATTTACAAATAATTAAGAATAAAATTTGTTAGGAAATACAAAAAAAAAAAAAAGAATAATTCATTTTATACAATGATAATATTTTTAATTATAAAACGCGAAAATCATGAATTATTTATAGTTTGAGGGAAAATAATACGTTTATGAATATTTCTATATCATCGCATATGTTTTGTCATCTGTTTTCTATCTCAGAATCACTAATTTTTAAAATTATTTAAAAAGCATTAAAACTCTAATTAACTAAAAAATAAAATTATGCTCGTATTTCAAAAGCTATTTTAGATTGACATTTCAAACGAAACAGAATTATTCTCATCTCAGATTGGTTCGAACAAAAGAAAAAATTTATATGAATAATAAACACTTTTGATTCTTGTGAATTAGATTTTCTTAAATTAATTTTTGTATGAGCAGAATATTAATTATGAATTTTATTTTACAATTAGCATTTTGGAAAATTTTCTTTTTAGCACTTATTTATAAATAAAATTTAATTTAAGACGATTTTAATACATTGTAAAAATGCTACTTTTTTAAATGTAAGTGCCATGATTGACTTTGGAAGTTAACAATAAGTATTGAATCGAGATAATAAAATATTTAAATGCTAAAATTGTTATCCTATTGTCTACCGGGAATAGTAATTTGAAGTATCTATTGAGTAAAATAATTAATAATTATGAGGTAATAAATAAACAAAAATCAGAGTAATTTGTAGAGACAATTTGTTAACAAAGTCAATATATTTGGTCGCATTTATGATAGGGAGTTGTTTTAAATGAACTATTTCGTAATTTTGATAGTATTAAGTCGTAATAAATAATTTTTTTTAAGAAAAACTCTTATATTCTATTTATTCTATTTATTTTGAGAACTAATTTAAAATGATTTAATATTCAATAGCTCATATATAAGATTACGTATAGCTCACATATAAGATTAATTAATTAAAGTTATTATTAATTTTACAAAACATTCTATTAATTTGTAAATTTGTATTATTTTAGATTTTATCTAATTATAAATTTTAATTTTTATAGTTTTCGCTATTAGTTCTCACATTAATTTGTATGACATGCCGTTGTTACAAATTTGTTATATGAAAGAATACCTAATTTCACAGTTGGACATTAAAATATAATAGCAATTATACAATTCATATTCATAATTAATATAGACATTGTTTGTTTCTTAACATTTTTACATATATATTTTTTTAAATAAATTAATATAAAAGCAAATAAATAATATGCGTGATTGTAACAAAAAACAACACGCAAAATTTCAATAAATTAAGCAGCTTCAGAATTGTAATTTAAAACATATATAAAAAAAAGTTATGAATATTAAAAAAGAAATTAAGAATTTCAGCTTAAAATAAAAATTTCCGTTATATTTGTAGTTACAAATGGGATTGGACTTGGATAAAATTAATCCAAGAGGATTTTAGGGGCTTTCAAAGTAAATTCCACTAGCTAATCCAATTTTAAATTCCCATAGAGTTCACATTGAGTTGTTAACTTGAGTACAATAAAGATTTTCTTCATATCCAAGTAACTCTTTTCAAATTTCCACTGTGTTCTATTGTAATTCTTTGTGATGTTGAAAGTGTTACTAAAACGATAAAAAAAAATTTATTTTGTTATATTTTCTAGTATATTTGGATAAAATTTTATAAAACAAAGGTTATACAAAGAATTTCATCTTCTTTGTAGTTTCTTTACGATTGCAAAATATCGTTGTACCAGATATGTCTCTGCATCATGTCAGATAAATGTACATTAGTTTGTAGAATAAGACATGAATGGGTATTGTATTACTGTAAAGATTTTTTTTTTTTCAATTTGAAAAATTTAATCTTGTATATTTTTGTTTGACACGCAAATATAAATTATAAAGTTGCAACTTCTTTTTAATATTTTTTTGTTATTTTTTTTTTGCTAGTTAAATTTAGATTAAGATTAGGGTAATGGTTGTTAAACGAATTTTTTGAATGAATTACACAAAATTTTTTATTAACAACTTAAATTTTGACAGTAACTTTTGAGTTATTTTGGCAGAAGGAATTCAGAAGCTCAACTACATGTTATAATTTTATATTTTTATTATTGAAAAAAATTTGTTACTCCTTGATTCTAATTGATTTTCACTACTTCTGGTTGTTTTATAATTATGTTTTACCAGTTTGTAAATTAGGAAATACTTAAAATCACTGGAAATATTAAGAATTTTCATATTCTATATGAACACAAAATAGAAGTGTACAAATTCTCTTCACTACTTTTGAAAAGAAAAACAATTTTGATTGTCAAAGTAATTAAGTGTGTTGAGGAAATTTACTGCCACAACAATAAATTGTAGTAAGAAAAGAAAATTTAGTATGAATTTTATTTTTTTTTAACTAGCAATTTACTTAATTCCAATTTATTTTTTCTCTAAGTATACTTGTAATGAAAAAATCAAAAAATATAAAAATTTAACCATTTTTTAACATTTAATTTATGTTGTATGAAAATTTTTGCATTTTCTTTTATCTATATAAGGTAGGCATAAAATGTAATATTTTTGTATACCAAAAAAATTCAATAGTATAAATTAAATTATTCTGTAAAAAACTAGATAATCTTAATAAAATAAAATAAAATTTATTGATTGTAATATAGATTTTTTAGACACCATCGGACAAATAACAAGAATAGCTTTATTTTCTGCTGATGTATCATGTCTTATTTGGTTAGTTTTGAAAATTTATTTTATTCAATTAGAGTCTTTCTTGTATATTATAATACCATTGAAGTTTTTTGAAGTTGTTTTTAATGTTGAATAAAAAGTATGTATGTACTTTGAATTCCTTTATTACCAAAATATATATATACAGGAATTTCGAAACATAAAATTGTAAAAACATGCAAAGTAAAAGCTAGTTTATTTAGTGAACACTTAAAGAAAGATATCAAACCCAAGTTTAAATAGTTTTAAGATTTTTAATGAATATTTATAATGGGAGACAACTTATTAAACTTTTTGTTTTTTAATTTAACTGAAAATGTGCGAGAAATCAGCTCTAACATGTACGCTCTAATCAAGTATAATACACTTTTGAAGTTTTCCAAATTTGCAATTGCTGATCTCAACAATATCCCTAATATCTAGAAAATAATGTGGAATTGTTAAATAGCATGATCTTAACAGTCAATCATTAGATTCAAAAAGTGAAACCAATTGCTTACCAAACACATTCTTAATAAATTAATTCTTTGTTAAACATGCCAAATCTATAAAAAAAATAATTTAGATTATTAATAAAGTTATTCAAATCACAACTTAAATTTATTTGACACCCACCACTGAAGAATAATCTATGATATGTAAAAAATAAAAATACAACATTAAAAAATCACCCATTATTTAATTGTTTTACCTATAATGCAGGAATCGCAAAGAAGTAAACTTTATAAATAAGCTCCACTATATCGGAAGCACTTGTAAATAAACTTTATTTTTCTTGTTCATTATTGTTCCTTCAAAAAATACATGTTCTGCCAGCGTTATATGTACTCGTATGTCTTATTCAGAAAAATTCATGTTCATTATTTTCATTTTTATTTGAAAACTGTTTAATTGAAAAACCGTGTTCTTAAAACAAAAACAATTGTATTTGAGAAGAAAATTGTTCTAGAACTTTATAGAAAATATATTGCATATTTTTTAAAAAATAAGTAATGGTAATCATATATCGTTTAGTTCTTATCTTTAGCAAATTGTTCACGGTATGCAATGTTTCCCATAAAGATTTGCAATGAAACAAACATGGGTTTATTAACCGACATGGATTAAACGAAATTTACAGAATGTAAATCGCTTATTGCCTTCTAATTTGCTTATAATTTTACGATTATACCATAATTTTTTAAGAAATCGTGTGTTTTAAGAAATTATTGTTGAAATTAAATTCAAAAAATAAATCTTTTATAATTATAACAATAAATTGTATTATGTAATAACAAAATAGTTGTAATCGGCAAATTTACTGTGACACTATATATGTATGAAGTGAATCAAACATCAATTACGAGTACTATATTTTATGCACCTTTAAGTTTTAAAAACATTTTTCATTTTGTATTATTCAATTTTGTTGAAAGTATTATAAAAGTTTTGAATTTCACTATAATAATTTTTATTAACAATTTAATGTTAAATTTTATAACAATATAATATATTATTATTGTTTGTGTATTTTACTTAACATAAATATTATATAATATTATAAACTGTAGAAGTGAAAAATATTGTTAAAATTATTATTGAACTGTAACCACCTTCACTTTTTTAATCACTCCATTATAAGTGTTTTTAAAATATAGACATAAAAACAGAAACAATGTAGAATATAATATATAAGTTAAAAATCATAGTTAATTTTGTTTACGGTATATTT